GAAAAAACATTTTTATTCATACTGTGGAAAATTTCTTTCTCTGTTTAACCTCATTTGGTAAACATTTTAATTTTAAAAACTTATTGGGGGGGTGGGGGGGGGGGTAATTCTGACATCAACTGTACACACACACACACAGACAAACACACACACACACACACACACACACACACACACACACACACACACACACACACACACACACACACACACACACACACACACACACACACAAATTACAAATTAGTAGGCTGTTTGGAAACAATCCTCATTTTCAATTATAGCTAATTAAAAGATTTATTATTCTGAACACTTGTCATTTTCTGAAATAAAATACTCAAAACTTTGATATTATTGTTTGAAATTTGGAAGAAAATGTATTAAAACAATAATTTATTGAAACCCATTTCTAATAAACCTGTATAATACACAGATACATACGGTTGAAGTTAGAATTATTAACCCCCTATTTATTTTGTAAAACTGCTTTTTTTCTAGCCGAAATAAAAACAAATAAGACTTTCTCTAGAAGAAAAAATATTATCAGACATACTGTGAAAATTTTCTAAATCTGTTCAACATCATTTGGGAAATAATAAAAAAAAAAAAAAAGATTCAAAGGGGGGCTAATAATTCTGACTTCAACTGTACATACAAACAAATAACATATATATGCAGAGATCCATCTTTCTATATGTCTATATATATATACTATAGTATTTGAGGAAAAAAAATCTTCATTCCATTTTAATGTCACTTTTCATTTCTTTGTTAAAACTGTTTCTCCAAAATATAATGAAAAACTTATCTCTTAATTTAAGGGTTGTTTTCCCAAAACCAACTTTTTCCACAGCTGAAGTGTTCTATTATAAGTCTGATGAGGTAGCGTTGATATTATTCTGCCGCATGAAACATATGCCTATAGTTATTGGCGGTTCAATCCACTGTGGCGATCCATAATAAATCAGGGACTAAGCTACAGAAGAGTGAGTAGTATGAATATTCAGATTGAGGGGCGGGGTCCTGATTGCAGTAACCAATGAGGGTGTGTTTTACAGATAACAGTCCACACACACGCTTAGTGAAGTGAATGAGATCTGGATGGGTTAACTAAGTCATGTCTCACTCAACTAGTCTTACACACACACACACACACACACACACAGACACACAAAATATATAATAATATATATATATATTTATTGTTATTCAGATATTTTGCACATGCTTAAGAAACAAATGTCTTAGAAATACCAATGTATCAAATATAATTAATATATATTTAATGCATATATATATATATATATATATATATATATATATATATATATATATATTTTTTTTTTTTTTTTTTTTTTTTTTTTACTTTTGCATAGGTTATATGGTTATGTTTGACTAAAAATGAAAGAATTAAGTGTTGATTAAGAGTATAATTTCTATGATTTGTGTTGAAATTCATGCAAATATTTGATAGTTAGTCTCAAGTATTTAAATTACAGCTGCATTACTAAAAATCCTTGAGATTAATTAATCTATTTTTTAAATGTAATAATTGTATTTATACAAGTACATTTACATAAAAGAATACTTATTTAAATCAATATCGACTTCTATTAAACTGAAACTATTCAGAAACTATTGTTCTCAAATAAATAAAACCGTGTGCAGAAAACCCTGCTTATAAAACCCATTTGGCGATTGGATTACAGTGCAAACCTGACGGAGAAGAGTCCAAAAACACTCGTCCGCCAAAAATATTTTGCGTTTTGGCAGATGAGGGGAACCACAGGGAAATTAACGATCTGTTTGATCCAATGGAGTCTGTTTGGAAATGTTTTTGGACTGTTTTTTTACGGCCTTTAATCTCTGCGAGCGACCCAGACTTCAGTGTTTAACAGAGTTGACTTGCTGCCCATCAACAAATTACTTCATCCGCTAAACATTATTCAGCACGAGATCCAATTCAGACGGCTCTGAGCAGTCTATATCAAGAGAAGATAGCGATTCTCAAACGATATCAAGGAAACAATGGCTGCTTCAGGATGATGATTAAAAAACAAATAAATCAATAAACACACAGACCCTCATCATTTATTAAGGTATTATCATTTATAAAGTCACAGTATAAAAAAAACTACAGTAATTTGTCTTGCAAATATCTATTGCTAAATCAAGATGCATCTACTTGCATAGCTAAGGATATTATATTTATTTTCATTCAAAAATTAAAAGAAAAACACTAACAATTATGTGCGTTTTTGCTGAACAAATTGAATAATAATAATAACTTGTATAATAAAATAATAATAAAAATAATAATAAAATGTTTTTAGAGGCACAAACTTACTTAATTTTGACCTTAAATTAAAATTAATTCTGTACATGTGAATAAATCAAATTAATTCTCAAGTAAATGTGTTTTGATTTGAGAATGTTTACATATTTGAGTCAAAGTGGGCGGGGCACAACGTAATACTTATTAGCTGAGCTCATGAATATTAATTTTACGATGCATTGATTGATAATCAGAAACTGACTATTACAAATATAATAACATACATTATAAATATGTGAATATGTATTTAATATATATTTGATTTGAAACATAATAAATATTTAAAAACAGCTGAGCTCATGAATATTTATTTTATGATGCCCTGGTTGGATAGTTTCAAGCTAGCTATTAGAAATACTTGCAAATATAACACTATAAATATAATAAATATGTGAACATTTATTGAAAAATTTGAAATATTTGGTTTTAAATATAATAAATATTAGAAAAGTGTGCTGAGCTCATTAATATGACTTTTGTGATGCTCTGATTGGATAATTAGAAATTGGCTAATAGAAATTTTTGCAAACATTATATAATAAATATTTGAAATTTGATTTGAAATATAATAAATCTGATTTGAAATACATTAAATATTTAAAATCACTTAAAATCATTAATATGCTTTTTTCCTTTTTACTTTTTTTAAATAAGCTGAGCTCATGAATATTCATTTTGTCATGAATTGGATAGTTAGAAATTGGCTAATAGAAGTTTTTTCCCCCGAACATAATACTAGAAATATAATATATATTAGATTAGATTGTTTTAAATATGATTTAAATCAGTTGAGCTCATGAATATTAATTGTTAAAAATTAACTGATATTTCAAATCAACTGAGCTCATGAATATTAATTTCTTGATGCCCTGATTGGATAGTTAGAAATTGGCTAATATATACTGTTTTGCAAACATCATATTATAAATATAATACATATTTAATAAGTGTTTAAAATTTGATTTGAAATGTAGTAAATATTTAAAATGAGCTGAAATCATGAATTGTTTTTCAAATTTGAACA